CTTCTCTGATCTCCCGCTTATCCGATACAAATCTGCCTTTTGGGTTTTAAAATTAGGGCACTGAGGACGTAAATGGTCAAAAGATCCACATTCATAGCACTGGAGTCTTTTTCTCCTATCAAAATTCGAGTCTGACTTTTTCCCAACATTGCGCATGCATCATCATCTTTTTTAAATTGTGTACCTTGAGGGTTTTTTCGATTTTTGAAAACGTTACCAGTGGACTGAAAAACAGCCATTTGTCTACCTGATATTTTCGTTTTCATTTCACCCAATTTCGTTTTCCCAACCATCGTCTTTTTCGCATCTTCAAATTCCTCTATTTTACCCACCAACTGTTTTGGTGAAGTGATCGTGGCCCATTCATCTATAAAATGTTCCTTAAACTCATTAGGCGTGCGCCTTTTAATCTGATCTACCAACATTAAATCCTTGAGTTGCTCAAATGTTTCGATTTTTAATCCCTTGAGCCACCCATCTAAAAATGTTTTAATTTCGTGATAAAAATCGTACCACGTAGCATCCGGATTTTTCTGAGTCTTAACAAGAAGTTGCCGAAACTTCTCAGCACTTAACTTAAATCTTTTAAGTAGTAATTCTTTAATATGTTGGTAATCTCTAGCCTGTTCTTCAGGCTCCCTAGCAATTATATTATTTACCTCAACCGGAAGGACACCAATGAGATATGACACCCATTGATCCGTGGGCAATTTTAGAACTTTAGCTTGCCTCTCAAAGAGTTCTAAGAATAAACTGATATCATCAGTTTTTAAATTAAACTTGGGCATAAGTTTCTGAAAATTCTGATTAAATACGGTTTCACCTCCAGGTTTAGCAAATTCAGTGTTCTGCTTTGCTTTAAGGCATTCTAGTTCTAACTGTTGCTTTTCAATTTCTTTATTTTGTTGTAGAATCTGAAATTCCCTCTCCCTAGCTTCCTGTTCTAACTGTAGTTCTTTCGCTCTTGTTTTCTTCTCTAAGTTTTCCTTTTTCTATTCTATCAGTCATAATACTTTCTAACAAATTTTTAACAAATTCTTCCTCATAATTTTTACTATTCGTTATTAAATGTTTTAAATCTATCACTTTCATATCTTCTAAAGCTATTTCCCCAAGTTCTGAAGCGACAAGGAATAGATCCATTTTCTTAGCTTTCCCCAGAAATGCCATTTTTACAAAAGTAATTGTTCAAAACAAATAACTCAAATAGTTATTCACAAGTAATACACATAAAAATATATCAGAGATATAAAAAACACTTTCTTCTTACTTACAAAATTAGGCAAATAAAAATAAAAGGTTAATAAAAGCATTAATCATTTTGGATTTATTTCCATTCAAACATAAAACGAATAAACAACCTTACTGAATACTTCGTATAAAAAAAATAACAAATTCTTTTCATTTAGACAGAAAAAAAACCAGAATGGCGCCAATATATATAAACACCTTTAATTAACTCTCGTTTTCATGACAGCTACTTCCGCTGGCAACCATATGGCCAACGCAATTACTACGTAAATTCGATAGGCGCAGGTTTAAATTAGAACACTATTAGAACATTTCTTTACTGCTCAAAGTTTTAATTTTTATACAATGAAATGATAAAAATTTAACATTCTACTTATCCGAAAAAACACATCATATTAAAATACAGCACTGGTGTGCTTTCATGAGAAAACAAAAGTAACAAGTTTTTAATATTTTCAACAACTTATTTCTTTCACAAGAATTTAACATAAATTTTCTTCTAATGACTTAGAAATGAAAATTGAAATATTGCACTGATGTGCTTTCACATATACACAAAATAAACACTTCAGATTCTATCACACCAATTTAAAACGAAACGTTAAACATAAATACACTGATGTGCTGTTTATTTACGGGAATGGATTTTTCCCATTATCATACAAAAGAAAAATATCTCGTTAGATATAAATGCAACACTTTGATTGTTTTAAAAACTCTTATGCACTGACGTGCTATAAAATGCACTGATGTGCTACGTGTTAATGGGAAAATGTTTTCCCGAATATACCACAAAAGGAAAATATCTTGTTAGATATACTATAAACCAAACACATTGAGTGTTTAAAACTCTTATGCACTGATGTGCTACTTCTGCTTTGGGAATTGATTTTCTGAATAAGTAATAAATAACTACATTATACACTTCAGGCCTGGAAATGAATATTGTGGAGAACTCATACCTGTCTCTTGTCACACAAATCTCGGTGGAACCTCCAAATTTTTTTTATTTCTTTTGTCTGTGACGTCGTGGATGCTTCAGTGAAACCAGAATCAACACTGGTATTGGTGATGCATCACTTTTTAATAACACAACATATCACAGATACAACATTAATACATTTAGAAAACTTTAGTAGATATCCGAGCTGGTGACACGATCAGAGACGGTAACGAAGATGGTACTCGTCATCACTCGACAAAGTCTCCACACCTCAGCTCGCTGGCGGAGCTTCCCAAACTTTTCTCTGACAGGCGTCTCAACAGAAGTCTCATCTCTTTACGCATGCGTATTCCTCAGTTAAGTCGTTGCCATTCACAGTTCTTTAAAATAGGCGTTAAAATGAATTACAGTACTCGTAATGTGAGGAGTTTGCTAACGACGTTCTCTCTAGTCAAGAGCATCATAGGTCTTTCTAGTAGAGTTCAGGAGCGTTCTTTACAATATTAATATATAATAAAAAATATAGGTTAATAACTTCAATATAGGAAAAAAGCATAATTGTAATGAAAAGAATTTTTAACTCTGTGATTTAAACGGTTCTATTTTTTTAAGTTAATAGAATTTTAACCTACAATATATTTGAAAGTTTAGACATTAGCAATATTGAAAATATCTTAAAGTTTGAAGAAACTAATTTTGTCTATATTAAATAACTGAAAAATATTTGTTAAAGATTGTCAGATTTATTTTGTTTTTTATGTTAAGTAGGTGGAATTTTAGTCAGCATACCTATTTCATTGTTTTCCAGAGTAAGATTTTTTCCTAATTTACTGTATGTTAAATATAAACTTACATATATATATATAATTAAATAATAATAAAATATAAACTTATAAAATATTTCTGTCATAATAAAAGGAACAAACTGAATTCAGAAACAGCAAAAATTGACCTTTTTAACCAAAATGTTTTTTTTTTTTTTTTGTTTGTTTGTGTGTTTATACATTTTTATTTGAAATTATTTAAAATTAAAATCATTTGCATTTATTCTTTAATTACACTCTTTAAGATACTCATGTGATTGGTATAATACAGATGGTGATTGCACTTATTTTGAATGATTCTGATGCAGAAAAGCAATTGATTATAAAGCAAATGTTATTTTTTTAAGTGCCCAGACTAGTAGCTTTTTTCCTTAACTATCAATATATATCTTGATTTCTATAACAAAAAGGCATTTCTTAATTTGACCAAAATTCTTTCTTGCTCTGTGATACTTTTCGTAGGCTGTCAAATGTGTTTCATTGATACGGGAAAATGCACTTTTGAACAATTTATTTGCATAATAGTACATTGGTACAATGACTGGGGATCGTGCTAAAATACTTTACAAGGACTTAATGTTAAGACACCTTTCCTTTTTTCCTAGAAATTTATTTGTTGTTAAATTGTGATTCTTGGTTGAGGGAATTCAACTTCTTTTACATCGTGTGGTAAAAAAGAAGTGGGATTTCATTTTTAAATATGAAAGACAAAATATTGCTTTAATAATACAGTATTTTTACATTTCTTTTAACGCCTCTTAATTTTAGTTTTCCAATGCATGAAAAGCCAGATGTCATGATAAACATTACTTAAACTTTTTTTAAACAATTGAAACCAATTTTCCTATCTTTCTCTCTCTTTTACAATATTAAACTGATCACTCTCTTGTATAATCATTCAAATGAGCTATACCAATTTTACATGTGGAAAAGGGTTTTTGATAAAGGATTCTTCTAATTTTATGCTGTACCACATCTTTGAAAATGATTAATTACTTTAGATATTCTAATTTAAATTTTGTAATAATCCTTTAACATTTTAATTGAATTTGGATATTTACTCTCTCCATCCTTTTTATAATGCTGAATGATGCATCTAACTCAGAACTTAAGTCAAATTTGCAGACCAAAATATTTCTCCTTTTGAACTAGACCTCCATGTTGGAAGATGTACTTGGCTTTCTGTTTCACCTCTGCCACTGCTATCTTCAAAATTATACTTTAAAATGCATGATAAAACTAACTTAACTCTGCAAAAACTACTATTATGGAATCCAATTTTTTGTATTGGTTTATTGGAATGCTTTGGCAAATGTATATGTATATATAAAAAGAGCAATATTTAAATTTTCCACGACTGTAAATCTGCCCTTCTATATATGCTTCTACAATGCAAGATCTGTCTTCAACATACCTAATTTACTACACATGTGTGTGTATGTGTATGTGTTTAATTATATATGTATAATTTAAGTTATTGCTTGTTATTTTATTCATAATAAATACAGGTTATTTTAAAAATTTACAATATTGCCCTTAAATAGGTGGATTCTCTTGTAAAACTGTAGATTTAATTTTTTAAATGGCCGTCAATACTTGCACTTTTTTAGATAAACATTTGGTGCACTATTTCCTGTAGAAAATATTGGTTTGTGATTTTTTCCCCCTTTGGTATGAATAGTATTATTTCTTATGTTCTTAAATGTCTCGATTTAAAGATTCCTTCCTTCATTGTTTTTGCTTTGAAAAATTAGAATATTTTATTAAATGTGCAGAAACATGACCTTCTATTTAAAATTCATAAAGTTTTGACTATAGTAAACAAGAATCCATCCCTCAATGTAAAAGCTGTTACCAGTTAATTTTTATGTTTCTTTAATTTCAGTTACTTGCTTAATCAAAATCATAAAAAAATATGCAAACAGTATTATCTGTATATTATTTTACACATTATAATAAATTTCAAAACTTTGCTGTTTTAGAAATTTTATAAAAATTCTGTGATTAAAGAATACCAGCAGGAAGCAGACCTATCAGCTGTGGTAAGTTTTTTTCAATATATATTCAGCTGCAATTTACTTGAAGTATTACTTAATATAAATCTATATAAAATAATTCTGCAGGAATTTTCAGAACTTTAAGTAATTGCTTTTCTTGTGAAAATACGGTTTACTTCTACTGCTGTCGGATGCACAGTAAATTTATTTATTTATTTCAGAAACTAATACCTATTACAATAAAAGATGATTTGTCATGGACAAGTATGATATCAAAACATCTTGCAACAGATACACAGCAAAAACTAAGTCATGACTTAGTTAGTAAACCTGGAGATTTAATATATTTAGCTGCTGGAAAATCTCAGAGTGTAGTAAGTGCCAAAATCATTTTAAAGTTGTTTCTTAAAGAATATTATATACATCTTGAAGAAAAATATGCATATCAGTTTATATTTCAAATTAACTATGTTAGTTTACCTTTTTTATTTCATAATTATGGTTTTGTTATAAATGCTTAATAAGCACGGCTGTATCTAAGAATTTCAATGTTATCTGAAACTGGAAACAAAACACTTGATAAAACAACTAGGATTTTTTTTTTTTTTTTTTTTTTTTTTTTTTAAATCCTTCTGCATTTATCAGTTTTTAATATTTTTTCTTTAGTTTTTTTTTAATGTAAAAAATATCAGTAATATATTGTCTTACTAAAATGCAGTTATATATTAACAGTTTTTTAATGCTCTACTGTAATGGTTTACTTTTTTTCCAAACTTTATAAATTTATTTAGACGATACATGTAATAGAAAATGAATTCTATATATTGAATTAATTACTTAATTTACTTGCAAGCTTGCTAGTTGAAACTGTGAATTTTAGCTGTGTTTATTGATCATTTTCTTTTCCAAATGTTCATCTAACAATGTTTTATAGTATACCTTTTTAGGGAAAATAAGAGTTAGATGTGCTGAATTGATACACCCTTTAAGCACAGATTTGAAGAAAACAAATGCATTTAAATTTGTTTGGATTACTCATTTTCCTCTTTTTCTCCGAAATGAAAAGGGTAAGGTTTTAATTTATTATAATGCTTTGTTACATAAACAAGCTACAACATGTAAAGATGAAATGTTTGATTTTTAAATTAATATAAAAGATACTAAGATTGTTTTTTAATGTTCTAAATTAAATGTACAATTCAAATATTACAGTTCAGTATTTCATACTAATTAACATAATTGCAGTAATTGTTTCTATATAATTATCCCAAAATAATGAAGATTATGCAAAGATACATTCAAGAAGTCATATTAGGTATAAAATACCAAAAGTGTTGATAATATAATTACTGGTTTTAAATCAAATTGGAAATGAGCCATATTTTCAGGGACATATTTTTTCAAACATGTGCTTTGCAGTTTAATTGCTAAGTGTAAATGCTGTAAACTTCAAGAGGTTAATTTACTTTATTAGTATCAGTTTGATTTATATATAATAGAATGAGGAATTACTTAGGAGTTTAAAAATAAGACAAGTTAGGAATTTAAAAATCAGAAAAGTATGTAGAATAGTAAATGGCAAGAGAAAAGGTATGTAGAATAGAAAATGGCTATGTACAAAGATGATCATAAAGCTGCAATCTTGAAGTATACTATTTAAAACAGTCTTGGATCATTTAGACAATTAATGGTAATAAATGCATTTTGTTTGCCATATATTATTTCAACAAGTGGTTTGAAAATTATCCCTTCCCTTATTAAGAAGCTACAGTTGGCAGAAGATTTCTCTTTAAAAAAATGAACTGTCTGATATAGAGTGCCCCTTTACATCCATATGGATTAGGAGACGAATTTCACATCCACTATTTTTGCTGAGATTTTTTAGACTTCTCAGCATATAAAAGTCAGATACCTCATTAGCTATAACAGTCGGGTGGTATGATAGAGGGTCTAATTTCATAGTCTTGGCTCTTTGTCATATAGTCAAAAATATTGATAAAGATACATTTTCCACATCATAACAGAAGTGCCATTTATAAGAATACCAAAATTTTTTGACTTCCAGATATAAAATTAATAGTAACTAAAAGAACTTATATATCCTTAGAGGTATAATCAGTTTGCTTGCCTCAGTTCATGATTTCTAATAGAGCATTTAAACTGGCATTAAATGCATCATTTTGATATAAAAATAAATATTGAATTATTTCAAAATTCCTATGATTTTTAGGCTTACTTTGAATTCTATCATATAGACATCACTGGCAGTTGCTAACTAGGTCACTATCATTGTGAATCACTTTTTCCCATCTGGAAATCAAGCTGCAAACTAGGCTGAATGTTATTTGATACCTTATTTATCAGCCTGAAACAGTTAAAAATGTGTTGTATTTGAGAATTATTCTGAGAATTGATACAAATGATTATCACAGTATACTAGTGATGGACAACTTCGGTACAAAATACCCGTTACTTTGAAAAGTACCGAAAACCGATTTCAAGTACCAAGTACCCAAGTAACGATTTGAAGTACTGAAGTAACGAAATACCGGAGTAACGGTTTGCTGTACCGGAGTACCCTAGTAACGATTTGGAGTAGCGAAGTACCCTAGTAATGATTTGGAGTAGCGAAGTACCTTAGTAACGATTTGGAGTACCGAAGTGCCCTAGTAACGATTTGGAGTACCGAAATACGCAGCTAACAATTTTGCGCACTGAAGGAACTCTGCCACGTCACCACATGTTTGATTTTATCTGTACGGAGTAAGATTTTGAATATCAGAAAACATGTCAACTACGGAAGTGTCTGAGGAACAGGAGAGCGCGGCGGTTTGTTTCTGGTGTTGGGGTTTGTGTAGATTGTCTTTGATGGCCAGTGGGGGTTGGGAGGATTGGCGCGGGAAGTGGATGGATGGAAAACATTTTCGCTTTCGGTTGTGTCTTGTGTGCAGGTGCAGCAAAATCGATGGGTGCTCTATCAATTTCGTGAAAGGGGTCGTCCATAAATGATGTCACGCTTGGAGGGGGATAGTGAAATTGTGACAGTTTGTGACAAGGCGGGGGAGGGGTAACAAGAAGTGTGACATCATATTTTGATTAAAATAAAAATGTTTAAAATCAGCAGATTGAATTTTGAAGTTATTTTTAAATTACCAAAATTTGAAGGTATTTCCTTAATCGGGGCAAAAGCAACTTTCATGCGTTTTTTTTTTTTTTTTTTTTACTTACATTCCTTTCTTTCCAAAAAAAAAAGGCATTCAGAGTAATTTTGAGAATAGGGTAGCGGCAGAAATTGTAATTTTATTGCTATTGTGTATTAATTATGTTTTTTGCTGTAAACGTTTCTCTTATTTCATGCAAAATAAGTGCACAGATCATTATTATTGTTATATTTACAGATGTCATTAAAACATATAGTTTAAATTTAAAAATAAAGTCTGAAATATGATCTATAACGTAGTGCTACGTTTTTGAACTGCAAGTATAAGTTTACGTAATATTGCGTGACATGTGACAAAGGGGGGGGAGGGGGTATGTTGAAGTGTGACACTTTGTGACAAAGAGGGGAGGGGGTCCAAAATGTTGCAGAAAAGTGTGACATCATTTATGGACAGCCCCAAATGAGCATAGTTGCGTACTTGAAAAACGTCGGAAGATTTTCTTTGTATGATATTGAAGGAAGGGGGAGTACACTATGTTTTTTTTTTTTTTTTTTTGGCTGTGTGTGTTGTGTTGTGTTGTTGGAGGGAAACAAAGGAAAAAAAATCGGAAAATAGAAATTTTGATGCAACACTATACTACGAGTAAAAATGTCGCAATAAATTTAAAATAGAAAATTAACTATAACTAGCTGTGTAGCAACCCGATAGGATGCAGTTTCCTAAGTAAATATCAGAAAATTTAATGATCAATCTGTTTTAACATGATATTTTTTTATTTATACGGATAAATAACATACCACAGAAGTCGTTTAAATACCTTCAATTCGGTAGTAAAGGGCATAGGGGTGCGTAGGGTCTAGAAATTAAAATAATCACAAAACCTTTATCCCACTTATAGATAAGATAATGACCTTCAGTACCACTGCGAAATAAAAACTTATTCAAGCTACCAAATTTTAAAAAAGATAAATCTCTTTATTCTCTACTCTCTCCCCTATATATATTAAAAATTCTGAATAAAAAAGTAAGATAATTTAAACATTAAATATAACATAAATGACCTTGTGTGTTTAATTGTACAATACTGGCATAAAATAAAATTTACACATTTATTCATATACACATGGTTGAAGAGCTTTTCCACAAAAAAGTTTATACTGTTCCTTTTTAAATTACATTTAGGTTTATTTTGAGTTAAATTTGTACTTTTGGAGATTTGGCACCGTACAATAAACAACAAAATGATTAGAATATGATTTTTAAAAACAAAAATATGATTTTAAAAAATGCATAAACATATATATTTGATTTAAACATTTTGAATTACCAAAAGCACTAGAAAATGAGGTATGTTTTGAAAAGTGAGATAATGTAATATATTTGGATGTTACTACAGTAATAAGTAAATTTCAGCAAAATGGTTAATAATTTTTTTAAAAACGCACAATATGATTTTAAAAGTCACATTCAACATAACAATTTTGAATTGAAGATTATCAAAAAACACTAGAAAATAAGATAGCAAAGGGTTTAAAACTGTGAGAGCGCAATACCTGGATGCAGTAACTGCTGTAAACACAAAAATGCAACAGAATGGTAAAAAATATTTTTAAAACTCAAATTACAACCAAAGCACATTCGACATAAGAATTTTGAGTGAAAGATTATTAAAAACACTAGGAAATAAGGCAGCATGTCTTTAAAACTACGAGAACGTAATATCTGGATGCTGTAACAGCAAAAAGCAACAAAAATATTTGTAAAATTGCATTATATGAATTCAATAAGTACATTCGATATAAAAATTTTAATTAAAGATGATTTAAACACTAGAAAATAAGATAGCATGCTTTCAACTATATGAGAACTTAACATATGTGAGTACAGCTAAGTAAATAATAGAACTGTAGAACTTTATATTATATTAATAATCTAAATACAATTTCAAAATAATATTTTTTTTTAAGAAATTGACATTTGAATGAAGTAATATTTCATTTAATTAAAACAAATAAAACTTTGATAGGCTGTGCAAAACGTTATAAAAGTATCAAATTTTTTAACTTTATGGAAATTTTAGGCATTTAATTCCTTCTATTTTTTTTATAAAGACCACTTAAAATATGTAACGAAAAATTAAGCATAAAAAAATTGACTCCCAGAAACAGTTTTGAAAATAATGCAGCGAAAATAAAAACATAGAAATAAACATTTTAAGCTGAACTTAGGTTGGAATTTTAAGAAGGTCAACAAATGATTAAATATTATAATTGTAATGTAAGAAAATTAGTGTTGTTTCAACTTTTGTCCACTCAAACGGTTTCGCCGATCATTCAGTATTAATCCAGCTTTAGAGAACACCCTTTCGCATGGCACTGAAGTAGCCACAAGGCCTAATTTTTTCCGTGATAATTCATACAAATTAGGAAATACATTTTTATTCTTTTCCCACCACTCCAGTGGATCAGATTTCCTGGAAAGAATGGGCTCTTGCAGGTATCTTTTTCACTTCTGCCTGCAGCTTTGTCGATCGCCGCCGCGTCTGCTGCGGGAGCTGATGAAGTTCGAGAGTCTTAAACTCGAACCAAACCAAACAACTTTACTCTCAAACTCGAACCAAACCGATGATTCGTCTATCTCTTCATCATCATCCCTTCCACATCCTCAACAAGATTATGGGTAGTTTGTGCAACTACCGATAACTCACAGATAATATCACTTTCAATTTTTTTGGTGACATCACATTTGAGCCCCAATTTTTTTATTCGGGGGTCAAGGAAAGCGGCTTGAGCAATGTCTTCTCTTGAATCGATAGTTGTAAATCTATTACCCAATTCACGTTGTAGTACTAGTACCACATTTTGTACTTGTTCATTAACACTTTTACTAAGCAGATTTTCACAGAT